TCAAGCAGAGAGAGCTGTGTTTTTTTTAATCATGCTTGGGGGATTTCTGCTTCCTTTACCTGAAAGTGGCGGAGGTGAGGCAGTAGAAAAGGAGGAAGTGAGCCCCCACAAGACTGCAGTCGGGTGGGGGCAGAGGACAGATGGCCCCAGGGGACCTCAGCTGAAGGGGTGTGGCCAGCGGATGCCACTACCAGTGATGGTAGATGATGCAGCCTCTTCTGCAGAACAGTTCCTTTGTGTGTGAGCTTCAGACCTTGGGCAAGGGTGTTAAACATGGCAGGCTTGCCTACATCCTTAGGGAAATAAGAGAAGAGGCTCTCATTACGTGGCGTAAGACAGGAGAGCGGGCAGCTGCATGAAGTGGTTATAAAACAGCCAGCGGTGAATGACAGGAGCCGGGGGCGACATGGGGGGAGAGAGGTGAGACCTGACTCCCAGGAGGGAAGTGAGGACTGGACAAGCAGCCCCTCCCTTTCTCAGGGCTCCCCAGCAATCGTTGGGGAGGAGCTCGAGCATGCTGCCCAGCAGAGTGGGAGCTACAGGAGCTTGTGTAGGTTTGGTTTTTTTGCCATGTCCTACAGCATGTGGGATCTTAGCTCCCCTCCCCGGGATGGAATCTTGCCCCCTGCATTGGGAGCACAGAGTCGCAACCACTGGACCACTGGGGGAGTCCCATCTTGTGTAGGTTTAAGTGGAAGTGTTCCTTCACCATCACATGAATGCCTAAATGTACTCACGCATACACACACATACACACACACTGGCAAGCTAGAGGACCTGGAGAAAAGTCAGGTGACTTTCGTCGAATGGATGAACTTCCATATGTCCTGAAATTTAGCAGACTAACGTGGAAAACCATAAAACGATACAGCCTCACACTAAAAGTGTCACTGTGGAAGATGGGGGGCCGGGGGCCCATAGTGAGTTACGGGAAATGAAACCACACGAGTGACAGAACTGCAACCACGAGAAAAGTGATTTATGCAAGGCACATATAAATGTGGGCCGTTTTGCAAATATGATTTTGTCCCTCTTGACGATTTCAGGCACTTGAAAGGGGCCCTGTGCTACACAGCCTAGACAGATCACCGTCCAGCTGGAATTTAGACTCTGTCAACATACATTTATATAAAAAATACAGTAGGGCTCTTAGTCACCCCAAACAGCCTTTCATTACTTGCATTTGTGAAATAGTCCTGTTTATACCTTTGATATCCCTTGGATAGCAAGATCAAACCAGTTAATCCTACAGGAAATCAACTCTGAATATTCATTGGAAAGATTGATGCTGAAGCTGAAGCTCCAAAACTTTCACCACCTAATGTGAAGAGCCGACTCACTGGAAAAGACTCTGGTGCTGGGAAAGATTAGGGGAAGCAGGAAAAGGGGACGACAGAGGATGAGATGGTTGGCTGGCATCACCGACTCAATGCACGTGAGTTTAAGCAAGCTCTGGGAGATAGGGAAGGACAGAGAAGCCTTGGGTGCTGCAGTCCATGGAATTGCAAAGAGTTGGACATGACTTAGGGACTGAAAGACAAATACCTTTGATATACCCTCCTGTCTATTAAAAGGAACATTAGTACGTAGTACATCTAGTCTTAATGAGCATCTAGATGTTTCTGGAAGAACCATCAGCAATGAAATAATAATGATGTAAATATTTAAGTGACAATAATGAGACCTGGCATTAAGATAAGCCCCATATTTATTCTAGTCATTTAGTCACAAAAAGGGCAGTCCTCTGAAGGTAATCTTTGCATTCTAAAAAGACCTAGTTTTCATCACAGTGCATTATTTTTTAATACCCTGAAATTGCTTTTGGAGGAATGACTGTAATTCTGTTACTTCTAATGTGATGATAACTCCTGGGAATATTTTAATGTGTGAAAAAATTCAATACAAATAAAAATCATCCATTGAAGTAATTTGATTTCAGTGATATAATTTCAGTAATATGATTCTAAAATAAATTCAAGATTTAAAAAATCAGGTTTCCTTTGACAGGACTCTTAACGTGTTTTTAGGATACTGCATAGGTATTTGTGTAAGCTAATTGAGAGAATTTTTTGCCATCAATACCTTTATTCATCAGGAAGTGGTTGAAACAGAGCCCTTGCAGAGAGGGAAACGCAGTGAAGATGGTGCTGTGACTTGAACTGTGTTGCCCCAGAAAGACATGTCTAAGTCTTAACTCCCAGGGCCTTGGAAAGCAACCTTAATTGGACATAGGGTCATTGAAAATGTAATTAGTTAACATGAGGTCATACTGTGCAGGGGAGCCCCTAATCCATTATGACTGATATCCTTATAAGAAGACAGCCATGTGATGCTGTGTGCGTGCACACACACACTGAATGCCATGTGACCACAAATAGACTGCAGTGATGCAGTGCAACCCAAGGAGCCTAGGGCTTATTTGTGAAACCAGGAGCCAAATAAAAGGCATGTGGCAGGTTCTCCCCCAAAGCTTTGAGTACATGGTCCTGCCCACACTTTGTGTTCTCCCTGGCTAGACTAGCCTCCAGAACGGAGTTCGGAGTTTTAGCCACTGGACCTCCAGGGAAGTCCCAGGGTTATGTATTCTTAAATCTCACACTAACTTTGAGATTTTAGGATAATACAAAGAGGCCAGCAATGCAAAAGTGAAAAAGAAAGAAAGCTGATTTTAAAAGCCATATTATTCATTAGGAATGATTTGGCTACGAACAGAAAAAACCTACTCGCTGTGGCCTAAAGAATAAGAAATGTGTTATCTGACATAACAAGGGGTCTCCAAGCAGGGAAGCTACAGGGTGGATTTCATCCCATGGTTCTGGGTCTTCATCAAGCATATGAGTTCTTGCCCTCTTTCTCTCTGCCATCTTCACTTTGTAAGCTTTGTCTGAAGGCTGGCTCCCCTCCCAGCAGCAAAATGTCCCCTGCTCCTTCAGGGTTCACACCAAACAGGACACAATCCTGAAGAGGACACTACGTCTCCCTGGAGAAAGGAAAACCCTCCCATCAACCCGCTGTAGACACCCCCTCCTCACTGGCTAAAACTGTGCCATATGCACCTCTAAATCATTGTTGAAAAGAAGAATGCAACCAGAGATCGTTCATTGTCCCCAGATATGCTCTTCTTTCTTCCTTTCTATGGAGAACTCCCGGAAATTTCATCTGGAAACATAAGAAGCCACCTTCCCCAGCTTCCTTGCATCCCCGTGTAGCTGTGCGCCTAAGTTCTGGCCATTAGGATGTGACAGGGGATGATGTGGGTCATTCCTGCATTATTCCTTAAAAAGAAGTGTGCTCTCTGCCATCTCAGGTCCTCCCCTCTGCTACTGTTAGGGGAAACACACGGACTGAACTGCCCACCCTGGTCAGGCATCATAGTAACCATTTGCATGAGTTAGTTTACGACAGGAGATCCCAGTAAGGAACACAGAACTAACGAGCCACCACCAACCAGAAGAGTTCAGAAAAGGTCTAAAGGAGACACCATGTGTCCAGCCAGCCTCCCAGCATCCTTCTCACTGGCATCTATCTTGGCGGAGCAATGTGTGCACCACCAGGAAGGACCCTGAGTTAGAGTGATGGGCCAGAGAAAACCCGGAAAGTAATCCCATCACCGTAGAACCTGAGCCTTCGAGCCACGTGGCACAGCAGTCCTTCTGGGTGCCCTTATGCTCCTGCTTTCTGCCCGGGCGCCCCTTTCCAAGACAGTCTCTTGCTTTGTCAGCTCATGTGTCTCCTTGGACAATTCATTTCCGAGTGTGAGACATGAGCCCACTCTCAAGCCCTGGAAGGGATCCCCCTTCCAGTAGCATTACCATGAAGATTTGGTCATGCACAGTCAGCTTCAACACGAAGACGTGGGTAATTCCTCTGGGGGTGACAACAACAGGTAGAAGGAACCTGGGACCCAAGACATTCTCAAGAAGCTGAGCCCGGCTACCATGCTAGATCCACTCTTTCTGGCTGAAGGTGAAGCTAGCCTCCTCTGGAAATTTATGGCCACACAGAAGAGGAACTCCCTTCCCTCCCAGGGCTCATTGACCACCCTCTCCCATCTCTGCCCTTCTTCACTTCTCAGGTATCTAGAGAGTGTTAGTCATTTAGTCATGTCTGACTCATGTCTGACTCTACCCCATGGACTGTAGCCCGCCAGGTTCCTCTGTCCATGGGATTTTCCAGGCAAGAATACTGGAGTGGGTGGCCATTCCCTTCTCCAGGGGATCTTCCTAACCCAGGGACCAAACCAAAATCTCCTGCATTGGCAGGTGGATTCTTTACTGTCTGAGCTACCAGGGAAGCTCAAGTATCCGGAGAGCAGCGATTTAGTCCCTTTAGGGGCTCAGTCGTTAACAACTGGCCTGCAATTCACGAGACCTGGGTTTGATCCCGGGGTCAGGAAGATCACCTGGAGAAGGAAGGAATGGCAACCTGCTCCAGTATTCTTGCCTGGAGAATCCCAAGGATGGAGGAGCCTGGTGTGCTACAATCCATGGGGTCACAAAGAGTCATTCGGTTCATCCAAAGGTGAACTTCTCTTCAGGGCTGATTAAAATACTTCATCTACTTGAGTGGTCTTTCTCATCCTCTTGATGCCTCTGAGATCAAAGGAGCTTGGAGGGTCCACTGTCCAGGCCTGCTCTGGCCTCAGGGCGGTATCCCTCATCTGCTGGGTGAAGTGGCTACTTGTTGGAGGAATGGCTGGCCAGCGCCCAATGGGCTCCTGCAGTCACCCCGAGTCTATGCCACACACACCCCAGGCTCTTGCCCACCCAAGACTCTGCTCTCACTCTTCCAGTCCCTGTCCCCTTTGTCCCACAAGGCCCTGAGGTTCTCAAGCCAACCACCTCTGTATCTTCCGGGATCCAAGAGAGCCGCCTGTGGGAGCTTCAGTCTGGTGGGATGCTTCCTGGGAGCCATCCACTCTCCTCCACCCCGACCCCAGCGTGCAACCTCATCCCAGGCCAGAGAGAGAAACAAATCCATCCAATCACCCAGTCCCTTACCTCGGGCTCCACAGGCCTCTCCGCAGTGGCCTTAGGAAGAAGGCAGGCTTTTCCCCTCCTCTTCCTGCCCTGAAGACCATCCCCCTTCATCACATCCTCTTTCTTCCAGAGGTGACTCCTGCCCTTTCCTGGGGTAGAAAGGGTTCAGGAAATAGAAACCAGCTTATCGTAAGGAAACACAGCCAGGCATCATTCAAAAACATCTTATCTGTTACAAAGGGGAAAGAAGTCTCTAGAACAACGACTGCCTCAGCTGGGAAAGGCCAGGGCCTGGCGGAAGAGACCAGCCTTCACGGGGAAGCCAAGGTCCAGGTTCCAGCCCGGGGCTCCCAAGGCCCTTGTATGCAGGTGGGAGGAGCCCCGCGCAGGGAGGCCCCAGGCACGGGAGGGGCGGGGCCTCGTCCTGCCTTCTCTGCGTCGCCGGCTCCCCCACCCCCACCCTCACCCCCGAGCTCAGCCCGTCCGGCGGGTGTCCGGCTCAGGTTCTCAGAACACGGTTTTCGAGCCGACTGAACTTATCCTGGCCTTTGCCAATGACTCACTCTTTGCCCTTGTCAAGCTTCCTTGCTTGAGTCTCAGTTTTTCCCTCAATAAAGTAGAGCTGATAACGAATAAAACCTACTTCACAAGGATTCTTTCAGAGTGAAAAAGAAAATGTACTGTATCTCTCTTGGTGAGCTCAGAAATGTAGTGGGGAGTATAGATTTCTGTTTACCCTGGAGCTTACCTGGTTCTTCCTTACGACAGCTTCCTCTAATGGCCTCTCTACCAGTGAAATTTTAAAAAGAGGTGCCTCATCTCTGAGTCCGCTCAGGCCTCAGGACCCCATCCTATTTAAGCACATGGTTTCCTTTTACCAACACTCTCCACTGAAGTCTCCCTCAATTTTCCTTTAAAATATATTTGAAAACAAAGAAAATGAGGAATTGGGAAGCATTTTTGTTAATTAAAACCTTACAATACTTAATGTCAGAAAGACTGGAGAAAGTGACCATGCAAGCAAAAGGAGAAAGGAGTGAAATATTTATAGCACTGAAAGAAAATCAGCAACCTAGAATTCTGGGTCTAGCAAAATTATCCTTCAAAAGCAAAGGAGAAATAAAGACTTTTTTAAAAAAGCAGAAATTGAGGGAATTTGTCTCCAGTAGACTTGCCTTATAAGAAATTGTTGAAAGATGTTCTTCAGAGAGAAGGAAAATGCTATGGGTCAAAAACTCAAATCTACATAACAAAAGAGAGTTTGAGAAATAAAGATAAAATCTTTTATTTTTCTTATATTTTCTTTGCTTTTTTTTTTAGCCATGCTAAATGGCATGTGGGATCCCTAGACGCAAGGAGTCTTTAACCACTGGATTGCCAGGTAAGTTCCTATTTTTCTTATTCTTAACAGATTAAACCATTAGTTCAAAGGAATAACAGCAACAATGAATTGGATGATTATAGCTTATGGGTAAATGAAGTGCCTGACAGCAGTGTTATAAGAGATGGCAGGGAGGTATTAGAACTGTTCATTACACAGTACTTGCACTGCCTTGAAATGGTATAATGTCATTTGAAAGGAGACTTAGATTAGCTATAAAAGTATATTGCAAACTGTAGGGCAATGACTAAAAAAATTTTAAGGAGGTATATTGATATACAAAGAAAGAAAACTGAGTCATACAGAATGCTTAATGAAAACTGGAGAAGGCAGGAAGAGTAGACAACAAAAAAGAAACAAAGAATGACAACAATGAGCAAAAACAGTTATGTATATGGTTATATATGATTGATACTAATACAGCCATATCAGCAATCACTTTATGTGAATGGTCCTAATATGCCAATTAAGAAACAGAGGCTATGACCAAGCTATATGTTGTCTATAAGAAATCCAATTTAATTACAAAGACACAGCAATTTCCCTGGTGGTCCAGTAGCTAAGACCTTGTGCTCCCAATGCAGGGGGCCCAGGTTTGATCCCTGGTCAGAGAACTAGATCCCACTTGCTGAAACTTAAGGTTTCTCATGGCTCAATTAAGGGTTCACATGCTGCAACTAAAGATTCCCCTTGCCACAATTAAGACCCATGCCCAGGCAAACAAATATTAAAAAAAAAATTTTTTTTAAAAATAAATAAAGACTCAGATCAAAAGTAAAGTGATGGAGACAGATAAACCATGCTACACTGATCAAAAGAAAACTGCACTAGCTAAATTCACTTAGACAAATCATCTCCTGCAATACCTTGGAATATAATCAAATCAATATATGCTATATATGGGACATGCCAATCAGGTCCATAGCTCTAGGAGAAGTGTTTGAGGAAAGTGTGAATGTTTATGTATGTTGGCTGCTTTTTTCTGCCTTTAGCTAAGGTCTGTGAGAGGGATAAGTCCAGGCAAAAGCTAGCCAGTTGGAAAGTAAAGTGGAATGGAATACATTTCCACTAAGGAGGTTTTGGAAAGTCTTCTTGAGCTCTCTTTACCAGACAATGGGAGCCAGACAGATTAATAAAGTTTGGTTCCTTTCCAACCCAAGCCTATTGCTTCACGTGGCCTCAGGGTATCCATCATGATACTTCAAATGTGGGTTTGTGCCATGTGCCAGCCAGTGAATCAAAGCAGAGATTCCTCTGGCTTAAGAACTTTTCCCTGACAAGATGTATGGCTATGGTTACAAAGGAACCTTTGGACCAAGGAACTGAATAGAAGGAAAAACACCAGAAACATGTTGAGTCCTTCAGGAATCTGTAATTCTTTAACCCCCTAAAGCAAACCTCAGGGTCCTCAAAACTCAACCTACATGAAAGCGTACTCTTCAATACCACTTCCGGTGTAGTCTCAAGGAGGATAATTGATGGAAGAACCTTCCAGAGGCAAAACCAAAGGCCACAGATGATAATGAACAAGGAAGTTCATTGGCAGAGCCAGGGTCTCTCACTTTATTGCTGGAGAAGAGAGTCTCAGTGGGTGTTACATCATTGCAGTGGTCCCGTGATTACTGTTTCCCTCCCTTTCTTTCCTTTTCTGGAAGAGCTTTTTTATGATCCTGTTCCTCATTTGCTGTGGTTGTTCAGTTCCTAAGTTGTGTCTGACTCTTTGTGACCCCATGGACTGCAGCATGCCAGGCTTCCCTGTCCTTCAGCATCTCCCAGAGTTTGCTCATACTCATGTCCATTGAGTTGGTGATGCCATCCAATCATCTCATCTTCTGTCATCCCCTTCTCCTCCTGCCCTCAGTCTTTCCCTGTAGCAGGGTCTTTCCCAATGAGTTGGCTCTTTGATTCAGGTGGCCAAATTATTGAAGCTTTAGCATCCGTCCTTCCAATGAATATTCAGGGTTGACTTTGTTTAGGATTGACTGATTTGAACTCCTTGCTGTCCAAGGGACTCTCAAGAGTCTTCTCCAACACTGCAGTTTGAAAGCATCAATTCTTCACCTACTGATATTGAGGGGAAAAGTTCTTAGAAAAGGCTGATGTCACCCTTACAGATAACCTGCTACATGCTAAGTCACTTCAATCGTGTCTGACTCTGCGAACCCATGGACTGTAGCACCCACCAAGATCTTCTGTCCATGGGATTTTCCAGGCAAGAATACTGGAGTGACTTGTTATTTAACCTAGGGGTCATTTAATGTATGATGAATTTATATGTCTATCCTCTGCATTATCTTTAGTTGCTAAGGCTGTGGAGAAACAGGAACTCCTATTCATTGCTGGTAGATATGCAAATTGGTACAACCATTGTGAAGTGGAGTTTGGCAACATCTTAAAAAACCACACATGTGTTTGTTTTTGACACAATACTTGCCCTTCTAGGAAGCTGTCCCAGGAAACACCTTCAATTATATGAAAATACTTTAGCCCAAGATTGTTCACTGCAATATTATTTGTATTAATAATTGCATTCTAAATGTCCAAACATAAGAAAGTAATTGAAGTATGATATTATTCATACAGTAAAATATGATAGAACTATAAAATAACAATAATAAGAACGATCTCTATAAACTCAGTTCAGTTCAGTCGCTCAGTCATGGACTCTTTGTGACCCCATGAACTGCAGCACGCCAGGCCTCCTTGTTCATCACCAAGTCCTGGAGCCTACCCAAACTCATGTCCATTGAGTTGGTGATGCCATCCAACCGTCTCATCCTCTGTCGTCCCCTTCTCCTCCTGCCCTCAATCTTTCCCAGCATCAGGGTCTTTTCAAATGAGTCAGCTCTTTGCATCAGGTGGCCAAAGTATTGAAGTTTCAGCTTCAACATCAGTCCTTCCAATGAGCACTCAGGACTGATCGATCTCCTTTAGAATGAACTGGTTACATTTCCTTGCAGAGAGTCCAAGGGACTCTCAAGAGTCTTTTTCCAACACCACGATTCAAAAGCATCAGTTCTTCGGTGCTCAGCTTTCTTTACAGTCCCACTCTCACATCCGTACATGACTACTGGAAAAACCATAACCTTGACTAGACAGACCTTTGTTGGCAAAGTAATGTCTCTGCTTTTTAATATTCTGTCTATAAACTGTCATAGTATAATTGCCAAAATATATTAAGTGAAAAAAGGAAAATCTACCTGTGGGAGCCATTCTCAAAATGTAGTCCATACACACCTTGGGGTCCCTGAGATATTTGCAGGTGGCCCATGAGATCAAAACTATTTTCCTAATAATATGAAGCCACCATCTGCCTTTTTTCAGAGGTGACATTTACACTGATTGTGCAAAAGCAATAGGGTAAAACCACAGGGACTATCACAAATCAAGGCTGTGCCATATACTCTCTACGAGCACACTCTCTTGGTTAAAAAAAAAAAAAGACAATTTCCCTTAAGAATATTCAGATGAAGCAGTAAAAATTAGTAATGTTATCAGACTTGACTTGAGGTCATGTCTTTTTAATAATCTGTGTAACTGGACTTCCCTGGTGGTGCAGTGGATAAGAAGCCCCTGTCACTGCAAGGGACACAGGTTTGATTCCTGGTCCAGGTTTGATGTCCTGGTCTCACATGCCTCAGAGCAACTAAGCCAATGCAGGACAACTACTGAGCCCACGTGCAGCAACTACTGAAGCCCGAGTACCCAGAGCCTGTGCTTTCTAACAGGAGAAGCAACTACAATGAGAAGCCCACACACTGCAGTGAA